AGGCTTTGCTGCTCTAGTTATTCAGAGATGTAACTATTTTAATTATACTTAAGTTATTATCATCATCATCATCATATTGATGAACTGTGGAATTGTGAATTGATTCTTATATTTAGGACAACAAAAGAAAATCGCTGGAACAGAGTAATTCATCCAGCCATATTCCTCCTTATTTTGGAACAGATATTTTTTGTCCTCCACGGATTCAGATTTTCTTCATTTTAAGCTTCAGCGACCAAAATCTAAACAGAAACATGGAGAGAATCTGTTCCCGCCTCCACTACTCATCTATCAAAAGTTTGCATTTAGAAGATATAATTTAGTTGCTTTCAGGCAGTGATGTTGAGATTTTACTTTTCTGGCAGTTAAACGCCTGCAGCACTCATAGAGGCCCCCATACCACCGTAAACAAACACATTCTTCGGAACTCCTGCTCAAAGTTATCTCAACAGTCTCCTCACGTCCCTCATCCATAAACCCTCTTAGCTCTGACAGGCCCCAGCATCTAGTGTTGCTCTGCACCCAATAAACCTTTGAGTGAAACATCTGGTTCCAGCTGTTGCTGTAGAGGAACCATGAAAACAGAAGATGCTGGACAAATGTAGGATGGTGTTTCCATGGTTTTCAATTTGGAGACATACGGCTGTCACCGAGGTGGTCAAAAGCTGGCCTAAATTCAGGGTTCCTGAGAATTTGGGAGGAGGAGAAGGAGGAGGAGGTCAAGGATGAGGAGGAGGTCAAGGATGATGAGGAGGAGGAGCTGGACGGCCGGACAGCAGTCTCTTCATCTGCCTCCACCTCCTGAACATCTCCAGCAGAAGCAGCCGTGCAGCTCTGTGACTGAGGGACTCCGGGGTTTGGATGCAGATGGTACTGATGCAGCAGCAGAACTGTGAGTGACTCCATATCTTTGCTCTACTGCGGTGCTTTCCACAGGAAACCTGTTCGCTCTGATTCTGGCTGAACATTAACCGTGACTCACTTTAGGTCTGCAGAGTTTTTCCTTCAACACCTCCAGAATTTAAATGACAACATAAATCCGAATAGCTGAAATATCCTGATAGATGTCCTGTGGAGCTGGTTGACAGTTACCTTTTGTATCTATGCTTCTTTTTCTATGTCTGCTTCTGTCTCCTTGAACCCCAGTGGGCCTCAGCAGATGGCCGCTCACACTGAGCCTGGTTCTGCTGGAGGTTTCTTCCTGTTCAAAGGGAGTTTTTCCTCTCCACTGTCGCTACAAGCATGCTTAGTGTGAGGGATTGCTGAAGAGTCAATGAGTCGATGCAATCAGCTGGTTTTCCTTAGATAGAAAACTTTGAATCAATCTGACTGGATGATCTGGTGAACTGGAAAGTGACCTGAGATGACATGATGTGAATTGGTGCTATAGAAATAAACTGAATAGAATTTCCTGGTTTGGTTTGAATGATGAAATGGTTCTTAGTGCTGCTGTGTTGCAGTAGGAAGGTCTGGGTTTAAATCTTTCTGCATTTTCTCCTTAAAAGCTGTCAGTCATCGATTTAAGGCAATTTCCTGTTTCTGTGGCTACCTGGCGTAATGTCATCTGACACAGGGGTGGATTTAGGAAATGTGGGGCCCTGGGCAAAGACAGGCAGGGGGCCCTCTGAATAGAAAAGGCAACACATAGAACAGCCCCTTTCTCCAGATGTAGAAATGTTAATAGAATAGACATCCATTATCTGTTCTAGGTTGTGTCCCTCTCTTCTTGTCCCTTTTCTTCTTGTTTTCCTCTCTATGTTTTGTACTCAGCTGACTTTTCATGCTGTCTCTAAAGGAATGAAAGATTTTTTCCAAGCACTAAGCTCACTTAGCTGATTGCTCCTTCCTGTGTTTCCAAAAAGGCCAAAGTAAATAACCCAGTCCTTCTTTTCACTGTAGACAAGCCATGATCTGCTTATCTGTTCTCCATTTTTCATTTGGATGAAATAATAGCTGCATGAATCATGACAGCAGACAAGATAGAGGAGAGCAGGAGGCGGGGTTACCAATCTACTCGCTCTGGAGAGCAGGAGGCGGGGTTACCAATCTACTCGCTCTGGAGAGCAGAGTTCGCTGCTTTTAGATGTTGTCTCCAAAGTCTCCAGTAGCAGAAAAAAGTCTCTAGATTTGGCGCTAGGAGCTTTTTAGAAATCAAAGTGCTAGAGGGGTCTGAAAAGTGGCTAAATGTAGCGACTAAAGCGCTAAGTTGGCAACACTGCTCTTTGCATGGTTTGTTTTCAAATGGTTTGCTGCTGTCTGTTTGGACCTTTCTGAACATGTGCAGCAAATGGACTGATCCAATATGGTGGACACTGAAGGGGGGGGCTGAGACACACTTAATATTATCAGCGTTCTGATGGCATTTTAGCAAAAGGATTTTCATCAAAAACATAATTAATGTGCAGAAATAAGGAATAGTTGTATTAACTATGCATGGAAACAGAGTTTTATGGGGGCCCCAGGAACTTGGGGCCCTAAGCTACGGTACTATTGCCTAATGGTGAATGCCCCCCCGGTAAGAAACTTGTAAATATTGGATTTATTTTGAAAAGCGAGCACGATTCCCTGACTGATCCACAATTTTTTACTCTTTTCTTATTTTTGCTGCAATCATGCTAATAACATATTTATATTACAGAAGTATATTTTTCATGCATATTAAACATTATGTGATTGTGTTTACCATCATGGTAAAAAGCCTCCATTATCTACATAAAGCATAGGCTTATAAAACCATCCAGGCATACAGGTAAGTAGCTGAAAGCAGGATAGATTACATTGCTTACTTATTTTATGATTTATTTATTTATTTCCATTAATTCACTGAAAGAAAACACAGCATAACAAAACCATTACAAGTGACAGATGAAATAATGAACAGAGACGCAGACAGAGATGTAAGGTCATGAGAAGGATTTTCTTTTTTTACCTACATGAGTACACTGCAAAAACGAGCTAGAAATAAGTACAAATTTCTTAAATTAAGTGTATTTACCCTTAATTTGAGTAGGTAAATTCAATAGTTCGCCAATGGAATGAGTATTTTTACTCTTAAAATAAGATAATTAGATAATATGCACTTGAAATAAGACAATGCAATTGTGTTTTCTTATTTTAAATCTAAATTGTCTTGTTCCATTGGCAAAATGTCTCTTTTACCTCCTCAATCCAAGAACAAATGCACTTATTTTAAGAAAAAATGTCTTATCTAGATTTAGATTTTTTGCAGTTTAAAATTAGTTTTTCTGCTGGTTTAATGCAAACAGCGGATCTATAAATAATGATTAGTTTGCAAAACAATTAATCTGTTGATTTTTTTTCATTAATCAATTAATAATTGCCAAAGGCTTAAAGAATTTTTTTACAAAATGAAACCAGGAGGTGAAACTAAAACTTTTCCACTTGTGGGTTTATTATAGAGCAGATGGACCGATGACAATATATTTTTTCTGTTAAATGCAAAATGTTTTTTTTTTTTTTTACAATCTTGGTATAATTCCTGCTCTAGGTGGGTGACTCTCAGCTAAAGGCGTTTTTAGAGTCTCTATACTATAACATTTAATCAATTACTAAATTTGTTGACGATTATTGAAATAATCGATTAATCCGATTAATTGCTTCGGCTTTAGATCATATCAGTTTTTAATCTTTATTCTAACCGTGTTTTATGCAGGAATTAAAATCATCCAGCATCCAAGATGAAGGGAGGAGCGGTTCTCCTCAGCTTCGTTGCAGCTGCCTGTTTCTCTGCCGTTTCTACTCAGCCTTCAGGTCAGTAATGCTCTCCATGTCGTTTCACTGTTGCATCTTCTCTTGCTTGGATTAGTTTATTATAAAATTATAGTTATTCTGTTATCAAGAAATAAGAAAAAAAATGTGTCCACTTTTTATTGCAGCCATTTTTGTTTTAAAATTTGGTAAAATATCTTCACTGGAAAAAATTGAAACCTAGAGAAATCCTTTTTTCTTAAAAAAATTCCATTTGTTCTTCGACTGAGGAGGTAAAGGACATATCTTGCCAATAGAACAAGACAATTTACACTTAAAATAAGAAAAAAAACAATTGCATTGTCTTATTATAAGTGCATATTATCCAACTACATTATTTTAAGAGTAAAAATGCTCATCCCATTGGCAGATCATCTTATCTACCTGCTCAAATTAAGGCTAAATACACTTAATTTAAGACATTTTACTCATTTTTAGATCGTTTTTCCAGCGTTGAATACATTTTTGTGTTTCTTTGGTTTTAGCAGCAAAATAAATGATTTTAAGCTTCTGGGGTCAGTTTCACGAAGCAGGTTTGCAAAAAAAAAAAATAAGTTTTTAAACCTGAAAACAGGGAAACTCTGTTTCTGTTTCACAAAGTTTCCTCAACCTCTTCTTCAGTAACCGCGGTAACCAGTGGCGGCTCGTGGAGTTTTCTACAGGGGGCGCTATAACTTAAAAAGAGACATATACCAAGTTATCAGAGCAGTATATTTATGTGAATGCCAACAACAAAAAACGTTATTAAAACAAAACATAATTTCATGTCCAGGTTTAATTTTTGTCCATTGCCCTTATGGGGCTTTGTGAAGATAAATCTGTGTTTTCTATGGTCAAATATTGTGTCAGAAACATAAAAAAAGAATGTACCACTTTAATAATGGAGAAGCTATTAGTCAGCTTTATGTTTTTTAATACAAAAAAAGTATTTTCTGAGAATGTGTTTAAGAGCAACCATTCAAATTAACAAACATGTAGAAAAAACAGACTATGTTCTATTATTTTTCTATGTGAATATCAGATTGTTCATTCTTCTTTGCCTTTTCTGCAAAGTGCTTTAAATCAGTCCTGGCTGTCTTTATCCAGGCTGGATCTGATCCTGACGTTTGAAACAGGAGGCAGGGAAAGCAGGATAAAGCTTTAGCCTCGCTGCATGCAGTTAGCCTAGCCTTGAGCTAAACCAGGTCCTGGAAAAAGACGTTACTTGCACCATTTCTCCCTCTCTCTCTCCAATGCGTCTCCTGCCCCCACAACTCGACCTGTCAATCACCCGCAAAACGTCCGCGCTGTGGCGGGAGGTGATGAGCAAATACACTTCCTGTCAGCTCGGGGCGCAGCTCTCCTATATTTCTGCATTGCAGAGGAGCTGCTGCTAATTGGACAACTTTTAACAAGAATCTATGGGCGAAACTTTTTGCTCTTTAGAGTGAAAATACGTCACAAACTTTACTTGTCATTAATGATTTAATATTTACCTTGCAAATCTAAAAAATATATACCAATATATTTCGAAATGTTTCAAATTGTTTGAAAATAATGAAATAATAAAGAAAAAAATATATTTATATTTTTTTAAATGTCTTAATCGGGTGGGCGGGGCAGCATGTTAGCGCCATCTATTGACCAGCAGCCACTGGTAGTAACATCCTCCCTAACTAACCTGGTCAGCAGCAGGTTTTCTTCGGTAAACTCAGAGTCCTCTTTCTCCTTACAGCAAATCATGCTTTATTTCCTGATTTAGTCAGATTTTGTCTTAGTTTTGTGCATAAATACATATATATATATATATATATATATATATATATATATATTCACTAGGTCTGTTACACACATTAGGTTTTAAAAACTAACTTTGCATGTCAGTTTGACAGGATCTTATGAGGCCAGAATGATCAGCATGTTTTTCACAGATAATTAAATATTTATAGGCTTCTACAGGATTCTACAACTCAGAGACAGGATATGAAATGACTTGTTTTTTTGTTTTTTTATATGAGTGACATGCGGATAATTTTATTTTTATTTTATTTACAGTACATGAAGAACTACTGAAATTATTTTCAGATTACACGTAAATACATTCATTAATTTCACCGGGAAAAAGGAATTACTTTAGGATTAGGATTAACTTGATGATAACAACCCAATGAGCCTGCTGGCACAATCTGAAGCCGTTCTATGGGACTGAGAATAGTAATAATAGATAATAACGACCATTTATTGGGATAATAACATCCAAAGCACGGCTGCACACTAAGCATGCTTGTAGCGACAGTGGAGAGGAAAAACTCCCTTTGAACAGGAAGAAACCTAGATAGAAAACACAACCGTCAACCAGCTCCACAGGCGGCCCCGTCCAGGAAACACACAGCCAGGCAGACGAGCTCCGAGCCAGCTCCCATGTCAGAGGATGAAGAGAGCACATCCAGTTAGTCACAGTCAGAGAAACAGGACTACACTGGAAAACAGCCCAAGCTCCAACATCTAGAAACAAAGGTGTTGATGGCAGCAGCACAGCTGATATTTCTCTCCAGGATGGAGTCACAGCCAAACAGGAACCGACCAGATGAAGCTACTATGAGGAAAAGCAGAGAGAGCAGAACGTTAGAGATTGAACTAACAGTTCCGCAGAGTGGGAGAATAGAGATAGAATGAAGCAGAATGATGAAAAGCTAACTTTTAAATCCCAGACAAAAGCAATCACAATGATGATGCAAAACATCACAATTGTGACTATGACCTGGATGACTGAGAATCTTTACTAGCATTTTATGTCTTTATATTTGTTTTTTTCACTGTAAAATTCTTACTGTTGTGTTTTTAGTTTTTGAGGTCTGTTCAGGGACAACAGATTAAAAAATAGCCTTTTGGCAAATTCTGGTGCATTTGCAGGAATGCTTATTAATGTACACTGCCCCTGTCAAATAAATCTATAATCTGAAAACTATGGAAGTAAAACAGTCTTATTGTAATCTGCCTTTTTTTTTGTAGCACCGTATCTTAAACACTGATTTTTTTTTATTTTTTTTTTACATGTTTTCATTGCAGCTGACTTTTTTGCAGGCAAATTTTTTTTGTAGCTGAATTTTTTTGTAGGCAAATTTTTACCAGATGTAAATTAAGTGTAAGGAATTCAATGTGTAATAAAATTCTGTGTTTAAAATACAATGTTAAAAAAATGAAAAAGGGAGATTACAATGAGACTGTTTTTCTTCCATAGAAAACCAGTTAAACATCCAGTCAAGTATATGCCTGCTGTTGAAGTCAGAGAAACAGGACTACACTGGAAAACAGCCCAAGCTCCAACATCTAGAAACAAAGGTGTTGATGGCAGCAGCACAGCTGATATTTCTCTCCAGGATGGAGTCACAGCCAAACAGGAACAGACCAGATGAAGCTACTATGAGAAAAAGCAGAGAGAGCTGCCTTTTGTATCTACAGGTGCTGGTCATAAAATTAGAATATCATGAAAAAGTAGATTGATTTCAGTAATTCCATTTAAAAAGTGAAACTTGTATATTATATTCATACATTACATACAAACTCATATATTTCAGATGTTTATTTTGTTTAATTTTGATGATTACAAATGACAACAAATGAAAATCTCAAATTCATCATATCAGAAAATTAGAATATTGTGAAAAGGTTCAAAATTGATGGCCCCTGGTGCCACACTCTAATCAGCTAATTAACTCAAACCACCTGCAAAAGCCTTTAAATGGTCTTTCAGTCTAGTTCTATAGGCTACACAATCATGGGGAAGACTGCTGACTTGACAGTTGTCCAAAAGACGACCATCGACACCTTGCACAAGGAGGGCAAGACACAAAAGGTCATCGCTAAAGAGGCTGGCTGTTCACAGAGCTCAGTGTCCAAGCACATTAATAGAGAGGCGAAGGGAAGGAAAAGATGTGGTCGAAAAAAGTGTACAAGCAAGAGAGATAACCGCACCCTGGAGAGGATTGTGAAACAAAACCCCTTCAAAAATGTGGGGGAGATTCACAAAGAGTGGACTGCAGCTGGAGTGAGTGCTTCAAGAACCACCACACACAGACGTATGAAAGACATGGGTTTCTGCTGTCGCATTCCTTGTGTCAAGCCACTCTTGAACCACAGACAGCGTCAGAAGCGTCTTGCCTGGGCTAAAGAGAAACAGGACTGGACTGCTGGTGAGTGGTCCAAAGTCATGTTCTCTGATGAAAGTAAATTTTGCATTTCCTTTGGAAATCAAGGTCCCAGAGTCTGGAGGAAAAGAAGAGAGGCACTTCATCCACGTTGCTTGAAGTCCAGTGTAAAGTTTCCACAGTCAGTGATGGTTTGGGGTGCCATGTCATCTGCTGGTGTTGGTCCATTGTGTTTTCTGAGGTCCAGGGTCAACGCAGCCACATACCAGGAAGTTTTAGAGCACTTCATGCTTCCTGCAGCTGACCAACTTTTTGGAGATGCAGATTTCATTTTCCAACAGGACTTGGCACCTGCACACAGTGCCAAAGCTACCAGTACCTGGTTGAAGGACCATGGTATCCCTGTTCTTAATTGGCCAGCAAACTCTCCTGGCCTTAACCCCATAGAAAATCTATGGGGTATTGTGAAGAAGAAGATGCAATACACCAGACCCAACAATTCAGAAGAGCTAAAAGCCACTATTAGAGCAACCTGGGCTATCATAACACCTGAGCAGTGCCACAGACTGATCGACTCCATGCCACGCCGCATTGCTGCAGTAATACAGGCCAAAGGAGGCCCAACTAAATACTGAGTGCTGTACATGCTCATACTTTTCATGTTCATACTTTTCAGTTGGCCAACATTTCTATAAATCCTTTGTTTTTATTGGTCTTCAGTAATATTCTAATTTTCTGATATGATGAATTTGAGATTTTCATTTGTTGTCATTTGTAATCATCAAAATTAAACAAAATAAACATCTGAAATATATGAGTTTGTATGTAATGTATGAATATAATATACAAGTTTCACTTTTTAAATGGAATTACTGAAATCAATCTACTTTTTCATGATATTCTAATTTTATGACCAGCACCTGTATGCTTCTTTTTCTATGTCTGCTTCTGTCTCCTTGAACCCCAGTGGGCCTCAGCAGATGGCCGCTCACACTGAGCCTGGTTCTGCTGGAGGTTTCTTCCTGTTCAAAGGGAGTTTTTCCTCTCCACTGTCGCTACAAGCATGCTTAGTGTGAGGGATTGCTGAAGAGTCAATGAGTCGATGCAATCAGCTGGTTTTCCTTAGATACCGGTGAATTGCTATAAAGATACACTCTTTACTAAAGAGTCTCTTTACAGTTCAATGTAAAAGGAAAATTACGCGAAAAAGTTAAACATACCTTTACTTTTTATTGGAAAAAAGTAATCCTCTCAAAATAATAACCAGAATAATCTGTAGATGGAGCACTTATATATTTAGGCAGCATGGAAGTTGTTGTTTGTCTAAAAAAACTGCGGCTCTAGCCATGGAAGATTGTGGATGGAGCTGGTAGGGGCCCCTATAGAACTTGTCCTGGTTGGTGGCCCCTGTAATGAAGACATAATAATGCTAGTATTTTGTTGTGATGATAAGCATTGGCCCAGAAACTGAATTGTCCCCAGGATCACAATTCTTATCTACCAGATCTTGGATCACAAGAGCTGCTGGTGGCTTTTTGGTTCTCCCCATGATAAAACACTGCCCCCTCCTGGCAAAGTTGGTCTAGAGCTGCCAGTGGTTCTACCTTCATGTCTTTCTGATTTTCTGTACTGCTCACAATGCTGAGACCATACAACTATTTTCTGAATTCATTTTTAATTTTACTTTCTTTCTTTCTTCTTTCAGCTTCGGCCGAGGAATTTGCAGACATCTTTGTCCTGGTGGACAATTCCTTACAAAAGTTAAACCAGTTCAAGAATGAGCTGAACAGAATGATCAGCCAGCTGGATGTTGGACCCTCCAGCTATCGTATCGGTCTGGCCCTGTATGGTCGAGATGTTAGGGTTGAGTTCCGTCTGAACGCTCATAAAACCATCAAACAGTACGAGAAAGCGGTCAAAAACTTTCGAACGAGGCCACCGCTGGGCTCAAACTCGGACCTGGCCAAGGCTTTGGAATACGCAGCCGCTAACTTTTTCACCACTGGAAATGGGGGCCGTGCGAACCAAGGAGCTCGGCAGTTTTTGGTTGTTGCTCTTCAGCAAGACTTCAGCGAACGTGTGTTTGAGCTTGCAAATACGCTCAGATCTGAAGGAGTGACCATTGTGGCGATGAGTGAGACTGTACCAAAGGAAAGAATGCGAAGATTTGCAGACCCAGGATTTGAATTTGAGAATCTGAAAATTACTGAGCTGAAGAATACCTTCACTACCCAACAAGAGGAAAAAATTGAGAGAGGTAGGAGCCATCTGCCTTTTCCACACTGTCTGATGTAACATAGATCATTGTTCGGTTTATTTTCTGGTACAAATTTTTGTTATCTTCTACTTTAAATAAAGAAAAGACAAAACATTCAAATTAAAATTGCTCATATAAAACTGAATGTAGATTTCTTACCAGTTGTACCAGAACAAACCATTTTACGGTAACTGATGGTCTACATCTCACGCTGCTTTTGGGGCCAATTTGGACTTTAGCCTTTTTTCTTGGTAGCAACTATTTTAAAATTCTGTTTGTCGTCATCAAGGTCAGTAATTCAGTATTAAGGAGCTAACCTTTGTTTGCTAAAATCAGTTTAGGTCTTTTTGTCCACTGAAATGTACTTCCTGAATAAATGTACAGCCTATATCCAGTCAGTCAAGTTGAATAAAACACAGGAAACATCAATGTCTATTTAATTTGAACTCACCCATCTTCAGCAGCGAACTATTACTGGTGCAGAATTCTGTATTTCAACTGTTTAAGTAAAGACATCATGATAAACTTTCTGCACTATTTTCACAGACAGCACAAGATTCAGCTCTGCAGACATCGTCTTCGTCATCTGTGAGTCGGACGGAATTGGGTCCAGCAACTTCCACTTGATCCGTACTTTTGTGAAGTCGATAATCGGCAGCTTGATTGTCCATCAGAAAAAAGACAGAGTGGCCATCATTACCTACAGTGATCGGCCCACGGTTCATGCTCATCTGAACAGCTTTCAGGACAGAACAGAAGCTCTGGAGTCGATCAACCGTCTCCGTTTCCAGGGTGGTGGCACCCGAACTGGAGCTGCTCTGCGTCTCGCTCTGGATTCAGTCTTCACCCTTGATAAAGGCAGTAGGAAGGGCGTCCAGAAGTTTGCAGTAGTGATCACAGATGGTGGATCCCAGGATAGCGTAAGGGAAGCAGCAGTAGCGCTTCAACGGGCTGGAGTCCGAGTTTTTGCAATTGGACCAAAAGTGAACTCAGCAGAGCTTTACGACTTGGCGTCTTACCCCAGCATCAGGCATGTTTTTGAGATAGATGGTTTTACGAAACTGAAAGCCCTGACAAACATCATGCAGAAGAGCCTTTTCCATTCGATCCTCCAGAGCTCCACCAACTCCTTCAAAAACAGCCAGGACGTCATAGAAGGTGGGAACGTTCAGGTTTTTGTTGTTTATTCATTATTTATAGCCATTGTTTAAAGCAGATATCAAACGTCTACAGACTCTTGTTAAAATGCCAAATTCTTCTTTCCTTAATATGACATTCGTTCTGCAGAAAACTTTTTCCATAAAATGCTCTGATCTCAAACTTACTGATTTAATTACAATTTCCACTGAAAGCCATAAGAATTGTTTTATCCAGTTAGCCGGCAGCGGGAGGTAGCGACTGAAGCCTCTGTCACACCTTGACGATTTAGACCAGCGTGTGCCTTGAAACCTTGGCGTATGTTGGACAGTTATGGGTACATCGACATACGGTGAGTATGTCTGACATATGCCAGCGTCCGCCATCCGTGGGCCGTCAGTTCCAGGTCGTTTATCTGATGGTTGACATACGTTCAGTATCAGTTCCTCATCAGTCGTGGCGTCTAGCTTATCCTAAACCTCTGAGTAACTTCTGCGTAACTTATCAAGAACTTCTCTCCAACGCATATCAAGGTATCCGACGTGTTCCAGAACGTGTTTCTAACTTCTAGCTACTGTATAATGACGTATTGGCAGCGTTTTGGTATAAAGGGGGTTCACAGGAGGAAACCGTCAGTTCTCCTCCAGACTTCATCCCCATCATAGGGTGAGCCAGAAGGTGAGTGATGGATCCTCCCTGCGTTCACGCCCACCACCAACACACTTCCTAGCAGACATGACGCTCAATCTGCTGCCAACGAAATCCTGCTTTCTTTATTTTATTTTTTGGCGGGTGGCAAACTAACCTGATTTGCTCCGCATATCCATCTGGAAACCTTCCGTTGAAGTAATTTTGGGAAGGGGTGAAAATACTGGTTAGCTGATTGGCCTATGTTGGTGATAGACGGGCCAAATAAACCAATCAGATCAACGAAGCATATGACGTACTAACAGAGCGACGACGAAGAGGAGCCAATTGATAGATCAAACTCTTGCCGAAACCAGTCGGGAGAAGAGCAAAAACATGTTTTCCTCTGAGAAAAGCCTCCAGAGCAGTGTTTTGCTCTTCTTTCAGTGAAGAAATACTCTGTAATTCCCATAAAACTTGCTCGATAGCCACGCTAACGCTAGTTTCATCGGCTGAAGCCGCCATGTTCTTTAGACTGAACTGTCGCGCTTCTCGTTGCGTCACACCTCAACCCGCCTCAAAGCCAACGCTGATTGGACGTTGGTTTGGTGAACGGCTCCAAATTTTCTTTAACGGAGAGTCTCCAGATTGATCTGCGAGTGAAACCTTGAAAGCTCGCGAGATCAGGATGGTCTCACGAGGCCAGTGGCAAACAGCAGCTAGGTTAATACTGCGATCAAAGAAATCTTTTTATGCAGGTCAGGCACCTAAATGCGCATCGCCGCCCCCATCAGGACACTGGTTTGCGCATAATTTCACGTGCATTACGCATAAGTTAAGGGCTGTGTATACTCTCGCATTAGCGTGTTGCAGTTAGCTTGTTGCAGGTATGACACAGCAGTGGCGGCTGGTGAAAAATATTTTTGGTGGGGCTGATATAGCCTAGTGTATGTCTCCAACTAATCCGGAATAAGAATTCAAATAAACAATTGGACAATACATACAATTTAACAGTAATGATTTAATTTACTATATAATAACAGTAACAGTGATGATTTGGGTCACTGTGACGGGGTTCTTTGGCCTCCAAGAATCCAGTCTCAGTCGGGTTACCGGTGTTGGTGATTTATTGTGCTCAAAAACTCAAAACAGGGTGCAAAAGAAACTAAACATGTACAAGATACTCTGGGCCTCAGCCTCCCTCCAGTTACCAGCAATGTAACAAAGAAACAGAAAACAAAAGCTGCCGCTTTTCTTCCCACAGCCCTCATTAAATAGTTTAAGCCCCTCACCTCAGGCTCTCTTATTTCTGATTTCTTCTCATTGATCAGTTTTGTCCATATATTACCTCCACAAACAATTGATGTACAAAAACAAATAATTTTTACAACTTAATTCTTTTACTCAGATTCATTGACTTATTCAATTACACCAAACTGGGTTTGAACCCAGCAAAGACGCAGCCAGACTGAAGATGACAAGTCCCCGTAGCATAAACACGTACACACCCACCCCCCCCCACATACCCACACACACACACACACACACACACACACGGCTAACCCCACTGAAATATTAAGTGTGCACCCTCAATACGCAGCAGGTAACCAGGACAGCTTGTGTGTTTTAAGTTCATGGAGCTACTGGTCTCAGCGCGAGTGTATTGGTCCTCACAAACACAGTATAACAGGAATGTGTGTGTGGCGCGCAAAGTTATAGAGGTTGTTTTAAGCGACGAGGTGGATTCGTCACAGTCACAATAACCATGACATGAAATGTTCATATCCTACAACAGGGATGTTCTTCTGGCAAACGGGTAGATAAATAAGGATCTCACCGAATTTGGTGGAAGCTGCATCTCGTTCGTTACGTTCGCCATCTTCCCTCTAATTGTCTGCACCTGCGCTTGGGTGCAGAAGCCTGTTAAAGCGCAGTATTTTCAGCGCCCCAAGACCATAAAGTTCTGAGACGCTGATTGGCCATTAAATTCACCTAGCAATAGTACATGATTGACAGATTCTCTGCAAATGTGGGTCAGTCTGATCACAGCCCCCAGAACAGAGACGGTAGGAGTCTGTCTGTGGAAATCCACAAATTAATGACAGTAGATAGGGAAATGTAGTTTATATAATTTGTTTTGCTTATAGGTACACAGTCTAGAGAGTAAAACTGACATTTATGAGTTAATTTCTAAAAATATATTTTACGTTTCTCTCTTCTTATCAGGGAGGGCGGTGCCCCAGCGCCCCCTATGGGCCGGCCGCCACTGTGACACAGATATTTAGATTTTATGCCCAATTTTAAAGTGTAGTCACGCTATGTTATTCCACACAACAACGTAAGAGGTATGATCAAGAACTAGCTAGGATTGTTGGTGTCCGTGTGCCAGTTTGACGAGCTTGTACGCCGTCTACAACCCAACATCCAACGTCGGACGAAATACGGTTCACCCGTGAGTGTTCACCAAAGACGACCTATAAACCAGGATTTAGGCTGTCGTTGGACAAGTTCTGGTCTTTTTATGAATACTCTATGTAAACGCCCAAGATTGAAAAAATACATAGAAAGTTTAGCATTTAGGGAGAAAATAGCAAATTATTAATTTGCTTCATCAGTTACCTTTAGATTAACTAATTAATTGATGATTTTTGGGACCTAGAGACATTTGGCTTCTATTCTTTCTCTTAATTCTGCATATTTTATGTTCAATTTCTGGTTAAATATCTACATATGACTAAGAATAAGCAAATTTGATTGTGCATATATTACAGCTAGAATCTGGAGCAATTAAAGATGCATTGTTTGGAATCTGGCATTTTTTCAGGGCTGTAAAGACGTTTAGTTTCTGCTTAAGAGACATTAAACCAATCTGTTCTCCAGAAAGTTTGACGTATCTGCATGGCTGCATTAAATTGATCAAATGCTCACTGGATCATCCTAACCTGTAACGTTTCTCTGTTTCCAGCATGCGCTCAGAAAGACGAAGCAGGAATCTTCTTCCTCATTGACGACTCAGACAGCATTACTGAAAGAGACCTCGCTGACACAAAGAACTTCATCGCTGGCTTCATTAAAACATTTCGTATCAAACTCAATAATATTCGCATTGGGCTGGTCAAATACTCTAACTCACAGACACTAGAATTCTACCTGAGCAAAAAATCATCTGATTCGGATGTGAACAAGCTTCTGGAGAAGGTTACTCACCAAGGGGGAGGGAGGAGGACGGGTGGAGCCCTGGATTCCATAGACTCTCGTTTCCAGCTGATAACGTCCGGCGTTCCAACCTACCTGATCCTCGTCACCGCAGGACAGTCTGACGATGATGTCAGAGAACCAGCAAGGAAACTCGGGGAGCAAGGCGTCACTGTCTTTGCTGTTGGTTTAAAGGATTCAAACAAAGCTGAGCTGCAGGAGATTTCTGGGGACTCAGAGCGGTCATTTTACATCAGGGATTATTATTTGCTAAAGCAGATCAAAGACAATATTCTAAGACCAATCTGTGGTTCAGCAGGTGAGGAAATCAGCAGATAAACTACATTTGTTTTGGTTTTTAATCTAAATAGTACTTGTACTGTAGCAGCCATTCAAAATTAACCTGACTCCGCCAGATGGATTTGCTTCGCATTTCCATCTGGAAACCTTCCGTTGAAGTAATTTTGGGAAGGGGCGAAAATACTGGTTAGCTGATTGGTCTATGTTGGTGATAGACGGGCCAAATAAACCAATCAGATCAACGAAGCAAATGACGTACTAACAGCCAGGCTACTCTTGCCGAAACCAGTCGGGAGAAGAGCAAAAACATCTTTTCCTCTGAGAAAAGCCTCCAGAGCAGTGTTTTGCTCTTCTTTCAGTGAAGAAATACTCTGTAATTCCGATAAAACTTGCTCGATAGCCACGCTAACGCTAGTTTCATGGGCTGAAGCCGCCATGTTCTTTAGACTGAACTGTCGCGCTTCTCGTTGCGTCACACCTCAACCCGCCTCAAAGCCAACGCTGATTGGATGTTCGTTTGGTGAACGGCTCCAAATGTTCTTTAACGGAGAGTCTCCAGACTGATCAGCGAGTGAAACCTTGAAAGCTCGTGAGATCAGGATGGTCTCACCAGGCTAATTCAAAATGGCCGATCCCAGTCAAACGCCAGCTTCCCTGCAACTCCCAGCCACTGCAGTGACCCGCCTCTTGCATATCACCCCATTTTCACTGAATTACAGGGTTGCTTCTCATTAGATCTTAATGTTCACAAATCATGACAGAAAGAATATTTTTGTACAAAGATTGATGTTTAAAAAGGAATCGTAGGGGACCAGCCAAGGGCCCATCAAGGAAAGTGGGGAAACTTTGAATGGCTACTACTCTATAGCACTTTTTCAAGTAGGGGTCTTGACCAAAGCTGTTTACACTACATTCACTCATTCACTGATGGTGGCAAGCTACATTGTAACTACAGCTGCCTTAGGGCTCACTGACAGAGGCTAGGCTGCCGTCCACTGGCGCCAAAAATGAGCCATCTTAATTTTTTACGTTTTTATTCTGTTAATAAAAGCTACATGAAAATGAAGAAAAATAGAGCAACATAAGATTAATATAAATAAAGTACTTACCCTTTAAAATCTCAGAACCGTCAAAATGATGGCCTTGGTGGTTCTAGTGTTAAAGCAGGGCTTTACAGCGCTATGTGCTACCACTACCAGATACTAACTGACATTCTCCTTCTTCTGTTTCCAGTTTGTAAGGATTCACCCAGCGACGTAATATTTTTGACCGAAAGCTCTGACAGAATCTCTGCGGAGGACTTTAGGAAAATGAAAGAGTTCATGAAATCTGTCATCAACAAGTCTATTGTCGGCCCAGACGGCGTTCATGTGGGGGTCATGCAGTTCAGCACTAACCCTGAATTAGTGTTTTCTCTGAAGAGTAGCAAAGACGAAATCCTGAGATCCATTGATGGGATGAACCAGTTATATGGAGGCGTTCAAACCGGACGAGCCCTCAGTGAGGTTTCAAGGTACTTCGCTGCCTCGCAGGGAGGACGACCCAGTCTGATGCAGAACCTGGTGCTGATAACATTCAGTGAAGCAGTGGACGAAATCAGAGGTCCTGCAAAGGCTCTGAGGGAAAAAGGAGTGGTTATCTTTTCAATTGATGCCCAGGACGGTAGCTACAGCCAGCTGACTGAGATCAGCGGACCTCCAGACAGAGTGGTTAATGAAGTAAAGGTTGATCTAATACAAGAACTGGACAGCATGCTGGCCTTGAAGTTCTGCGATCCACAAAGAGGTAAGACTGGACCGGGAATCATGAATACAGCAATAACTGCTGTTTTGTTTTATCAAAGCTTTTTTTTTTCAGAAAGTTTCTGTCTCTAAATATTTTATAGGTGCATCTCAAAAAATGTAAATATTCATACTTTTAACCTCTTTAGAAAGAGAAACACCTAAGGTCTGAACATTCATTATATGGCACCAAATTACAACATGGCATCTTATTATGGTACTTCCAAATCCCCCAGATAAATCAATTAAAGGTTATCTAAAGTTCACAGTTGCCTTATGTATCTATGCTTCTTTTTCTATGTCTGCTTCTGTCTCCTTGAACCCCAGTGGGCCTCAGCAGATGGCCGCTCACACTGAGCCTGGTTCTGCTGGAGGTTTCTTCCTGTTCAAAGGGAGTTTTTCCTCTCCACTGTCGCTACAAGCATGCTTAGTGTGAGGGATTGCTGAAGAGTCAATGAGTCGATGCAATCAGCTGGTTTTCCTTAGATAGAAAACTTTGAACCAATCTGACTGGATGATATGTGTTGTGAATTGGCGCTATAGAAATAAACTGAATAGAATTTAAATGAAATTTTTGGTCACAGACAGTTTGGACCATTATTGTGTCATGCTGCTGTTGAATGAAGTTAAATGAATTTACAGTAACAACCCTCTGTCTTCTTATCAATCAGGTTGAATGTTCATCACAGAATTCATGTTTTTTTGTGTCACACAAGTTAATATTTATTTTCTTTTTTCTTCTCACAGATTGTAAGAAGGTAGAAAGAGCTGACATTATCTTCCTGGTGGATGGCTCAGAAAGCATAGCAGACCGCTTCGGAAGCATGCAAATTTTTATGGAGTCTATAGTGAACCAGACCATAGTCAGTGAGGACTCTACACGTTTTGGAGCCATTCTTTACTCCAGCACACCCGAAGTCCAGTTTCGTCTAAACCAGTATGCCTCAAGTACAGAAGTCCGTCAAGCCATTTATAGTATGGTGACACCAAATGCTTCAACCTACACTGGTCTAGCTCTGGAATACTCGTTGCAGTTCTTTGAGGAGATGAATGGCGGCCGGAGAAACCTCAGGGTTCCTCAGATTCTCATGGTGATCACAGACGGGGTTGCCTATGACAAGGAGAAGCTGAAAGTCAATTCCGATGCATTGCGAGCAAACGGTGTCTCTGTCATGAGCATTGGAGTAAAGGGCGCAGAGATGGATCAGCTACTGACCATAGCTGGAAACGATGAATCCCTTGTCTTCTACGTTGATACTTTCGAAAAGCTTGAAACTCTTTACACAAACATGACTGAAGTCATCTGCAACCAAACCAAAAACGGTAAGAATGGCTGAATAGAGACGGCACACACAGTGTCACCCTACAGGGATAATTAATGAATAATAATCATTGGATAATTGCTTGTTATTTACCTAAGATGCGTTGGCTTTTCTTGGCAGATTGCGATGAATTGGACTTGGTCTTTCTGTTGGATCGTTCCGGCAGCATCAACACAACACAGCACAAGATCATGAAAGACTTCACAGGAGATTTAGTGGAAAACTTACAGATTGGTGAGAAGACTGTGCATGTTGGACTTGCACAGTTCAGTGAAAACTTTCAAGATGAGTTTTACCTCAATAGGTACTACGACAAACAGGACATAGCTAATCACATACGCCAGGTGAGATATTTAGGAGGCAGCACCTACCTCGGTAAGGCCCTGAACTCTGTGAAGGACTATTTTAGCCCGTCACGAGGCAGCCGCGACACAGTGCCCAAGACCCTGGTGGTGTTCTCAGATGGTAATTCCTATGACGACGTGGAGGATGTAAGCAATGAGATCAGGAATAGGAAAATTGCTGATGATGTAATAGCCATAGCAATTGGAGATTACTATGACACCGAGCTTCTGCAGATTACTGGGGACCCACGGAAGATTTTTAAAGTCGGTAATATAGAGAACCTACCAAGTTTCAAGAAGAGGGTGTCGGAGGCTATCTGCAGTGATGAGGTTCTTCCTCCTCCTGTTATTCCTACTCTTCCTCCTGTTCCTCTAGGTAAGATGAGAAATTTGTTTCTGTTTCATCAGATTAATGTATTTTACCTGCTGGAAATTAAGTTGCCTCCTATTCCTTTTTTAGTTGAAAACTGCACCATCGATGTCGCCATTGTATTTGATATTTCTCAAGCCCCTAATGTGCCACTGCTCAGAATTGTTAGTCCCCTCCAGGAAATCGTCCGTTCCATTTCCATCGTGAATGACCTCAGTAACCTGCCTCCAATCGAGACCAAGATCTCCTTCAGCATCATGAGTCCCGATGGCAGCTACTTGTTAGACACAAACTTTGAGGCCTTCAACCCAGAAGTTCTGATGAAAACCTCGACCTTTTCTTGGTCCCAGGCCACATATTTCAACTCTGCCTTGCTGAGTGGATTCAACGCCAAGTTCCGGTCTGAGTCTAGAGCAGCTGTCAAGGTGAGGCTGTGGTTTCTATCAAAAAGGGTTTTTTGTTTGTTTTTTTGGTTCTGACTTTTAATTGACCGCCATTGGCTAAAAATGTGATAGAGAACTTTATTGAACTTTATTGAACTCTCAATACTTTAGAATATCTGATCTGTCGAGAAGACAGGACCATCCTTTGCAAGCATCACATTCAGTTTGCGATTCTGCTCCCTTAACATCTCAGTTTAAGTGTTGATAGCTCTGCAGATCCCCTCGTACATGCTGGGCAGCCTCAGCATGGCCAGAACAGCCCCCCACATCTTTTGAATTTTGCAATATGCCAGGTATCTGCCAACTCCAAACAGCAGAAGGCCTGTTATTAAAAACCCAATATACACCCATCTTCTATGTCTTCTACTGACCTCATCTTCAGGCACACAAGCTTCCATTTGTGCCTGAAATCCATTGTTTACTGGAGGGTTTCCCCTTAAGCCGGGCATACACAGCAAGATTTTTTCAATCGTTGCTTGCAGCTACAGCTCACACTGTACTTGCCCACGACCACCTTACGATGGCCGAGTGAATTTCACAAGATTGGTTTTATCCTGACCTTACGATTGCTGATCGGGAGGTGGTCGTGAGAGGCCTATCGCCCCTCATTACCCCCTGTACACTGATATGATCAGGCTGAAAGTCGGCCCGATCAAAGAATTCTCGCACGACTGGAAAATCAGCCCGAAAAGGGCAAAAAAATCGTACAGATTGAAAATTGATTGAAAAGACAATATTATTTACTTGGTGCAGCCAAGGTGTTGAGGGGATCTGTTTTGGTGGCCTTAGGAATGCATCTCTGTTATTCGCAGATGATGTGGTTCTGTTGGCTTCATCAGGGTGTGATCTACAGCTCTCACTGGAGCGGTTCGCAGCGGAGTGGTTCGCAGCCGGATCAGAATCAGTGCCTCCAAATCCGAGACCATGGCCTTGAGCCGGAAAAGGGTAGATTGCCTTCTCTGGGTTTTTCTGCCCCTATTGGAGGAGTTTAAGTATCTTGGGGTCTTGTTCACAAATGAGGGGAAGATGGAGCGGGAGATCAATAGGCGGATTGGTGCGGCGTCTGCTGTGAAGCGTGCGCTGTACCGGTCTGTTGTGGTGAAGAGAAAGCTGAGCCAAAAAGCAAAGCTCTCGATTTACCGGTCGATCTCGTTCCTACCATCATATATGGTCATGAGCTTTGTGTCATGACCGAAAGAACGAGATCCCGGATCCAAGCGGCTGAAATGAGTTTCCTCCGTAGGGTTGCTGGGCTCTCCCTTAGAGATAGGGGGAGGAGCTCAGTCATCTGTGGAGGACTCAGAGTAGAGCCGCTGCTCCTCCACATCGAGAGGAGCCAGCTGAGGTGGCTCAGGCATCTGGTTAGGATGCCTCCTGGACGTCTCTCTGGTGAGGTGTTCCAGGCACGTCCCACCGGGGGGAAGCCCAGGGGGAGACCCAGGACACGCTGGAGGGACTATGTTTCTCTGCTGGCCTGGGAACACCTTGCGATTCCCCTGGAGGAGCTGGACCAAGAAGATGGATGGATGGATGGATGGATGGATGGATGGATGTACATGATTTAAGTCCAAACAACATCTACATTTGGCTAAAAAGTGAAAGATGAAGAGCCGTAATTTTCAGATTGTTGAAAAGACGATGCAAACCCAGACCGACAATATCAGAGCGACCAAACACAGCCCAAGTTTCAACAACTATTTCAAGACTCCAGACCTGAAATAGTCTGAAATAGTCCAGACTATGGCGGACCGACCAGATTTGGCCTAAAAAACAATTCTAAATTATGTCTGGTGTTAGGAGGGCTGGATCAGCTTATCTGATTGGTTGACGCTGTGGCGTTCAGCAGCTAAAGTACATTTTCCTGAACTCCAGCTGTTAGTTTAAAAAAATGTAGGTTTGTAAAAGAGAAACTGAGTCCACACAGGAAAGAGATTCAAACAACTCCTACAGGAGTGGAAAAAGTCCAACCCAACTTCCAGCTCTTTCAACGACCCCCCTCCTGCATTCGTCTTTTATTAACAGAACATAACACATGGTTACAAACAGAGTATTGTTCTGAAAGGACAATTGATCAGGTCATAAGACAGGATGCTCTCCTCTTAACTGAATCATAAGACAGAGTGAATCATCTCCTTGCTTCAATGTTTATAAGCACACACACATTAATTTTATAATCATCATTGAATAAACCTAACTCCAGCATTGAACATTGGATGCTATGATGCCAAAAAATACCCCACCTGGTTGCACCGCTCCTGACCCTCGGACGCTGTCCCCCATAGACTCTGAATGTAAAATGCCTTGACGGCCAAAACTCTCCCGGTCTGAACGCACCATCTTCCTCTGATGCAGGCCTCTACCATAACATTTCACAACACCTCCTGGTTTTGCTGAAAAACTGTATGAAGACACTGATTTCATCTTCTAGCAGGATCTGGTACCAACCCAACATAACATAACAAAAACGTATTGAATGACCATGGTGGTAGCGCACTAGCTGGAGATGCTGCTGGGCAGGATCTGAGTAGTTCCTGGTTTACATTTTTTTATTGGTTAAACTTCTTAACTTTGACCGAAAAAAATTTGTTTTAAAAGTAGAATCTAGGTGGTATTTAGATCAAAGTTTTCTTACTCTTTCAGTTTATTTAGGTTTACAGCCTGGTGATGCTTCTCAACAACAAACCCATGAAAGAATCTGATGAGATCATCTTTTCCCATCAGGTTCTGATCATCTTCTCTGATGGACTCGACGAAGACGTGATGAGGCTGAAGCGGGAATCTGAGCGGCTAAAGACCTCTGGTAATATTTCCAGCTTTGTATGTTCTGACATCTGATTTCACTTCAGTTTAATTTTTTTAGTTAAAAGTAGTTTAGGGTTTGATGATTAGCAAACAGGATTTTTCTTCCAACTGGAGAACTCTTTGATCCTGGGAACATCTTCATCAGACTGTGCAGGGGAAGAACAAGAGGCAGTCTAACGAGGACTATAACTGATTTACAGAACATTTAGCAATCACTGAAGGGTGTCGGATCAGGACAACCATCAGTGGCGACTGGTGGGGTTTTCTCCACTTCTAAATAGACGACCAATCAAATGTATACTAAGGTATTGCACCAGTATATTTATATGAATGCCAACAAAAAAAACAACAACATTATAAAACTTTTATGAGGAGTGCTTAAATCAGTCCTAGCTGTCTTACTTCATGCTTGGTCAGATCCTAATGTTTAAAAAGGAAGGCAGGGAAAGCAGAATAAAGCATTAGCCTCGCTGCATGCAGTTAGCCTAGCCTGGATGCTAAATAATTCTATAAACCTGTCAATCAGCCACTCTTTAATGACTGTTAGGTCAGCGCTGTGGAGGGAGGTGGTGTGCAAATAAAGCTGCTTTCAACTCTGGGTGCAGGAGAGCTGCTTTCCAGGATGTTTCTATCTTTAGTATTGAACAGGAGCTGCTGCACATGGACAACTTTTAACCAAAGTCTATGGGGGAAGATTTATGTGCCCCAGCAGTGACGTCACGGTGCGGTAAGCCTAGCGCCATTCTCCCCGCTTTACAAGCTAAATCAATGGGAACTACTAGACACATCTGCAATCAACAACAATTATTGAAGATTTCCAGAGGACTTCACCATTGAAATTCACCAGAGCTATAGTGAAACTGACAATGCCCACGTGCATGGCAGCTGGATGCTGGAATACATCGGGTAAAAGTGAAAAAAAGAGTTATTCCACCTTTCTGATTCCTGATCCTCCACGGACGGGTTGGTCGTTGGATCGCCAACTTGAAGAGGGAGGATTTGCCATCGAACTTCTGGCCAGAGAAAAAACCCGTAATATGTAGCCAACATTTGGAAGAAGAATGTTTTCAAGATGACTTGGATAATAGCGCGTTGTGACAAACACCAGATACAGCACTGGGACTTGATCAACAGCCGATACCGCACCGTGACGTCACTAACCAGTAGGTGGCAGTAGTGTTCTTTGACAAACATGGATGCCTCCAGTAAAGCACGTTCACATGAAAATTACTCTGAATTAAAAACACTGATCATTTATTGAACAGAGTGGAATAATTTCATATTTTAAGTACTTTCAGAAGTTTGAATTCTGAATATGAGCAAACCTTTCCTTATTTACTACGCTGATATGAAGTGCCTGATCCAGTGGATCAACAGCTCCCTGAGTTACAGCAACAAATATCAATACTCTGCTGTTTATTGTCTGCAGGGGTCAGCGCTCTGCTTGTTGTGGCCTTGGATAGTGCTCAAGCCTTCCAGCTCCTGATGGTTGAGTTTGGACGAGCACACAACTACAAGGCTCCTCTGAAAATCGGCTTGCAGAGCATCAGCAGCGTCATCCTGCAAGAACTTGTAAGTCATTGTCATGTTAGAAAAGAGGGAATGAGGCACCAACCAGACATTGGCAGATTTGTAATCCCTGTTGGTGGTATACTGCCTGATCCATATATATATATATATATATATATATATATATATATATATATATACAGTAATGATCTGAGTATTTTCTTTGTGACTTCCTGCAGAGCGCCATAGCAGAACGTATCTGCTGCAATGTTTTCTGTAGATGCTATGGAACCCCGGGGCCTCCTGGTCTTCCTGGGACACCAGGAGATAAGGTGAGTGTAAAAGATCTTCAAGACGACATGATCGTCCCAATCGTCAGTATTCTTTTTATACAATTCCATTATTTATTTTACGATTGCGATCTTTAGTGTGGTTTCTAGTTGGCGTAACTCTGTATTTCCGTCGTGATCCTGATCCTTGAAGAGTTTATGTTACCTGTTTGTGGATCCAGGCGGGGGCGTAGCTAGATGGGTGGCCACAGCCACCGTCAGCCAATCAATGGCCACCCCTACCATTTTTTCCTTCTGATACAGACGGTGACAGCAGTAATACTCTTAAGAGGAATGTTCTAACTTATGTAGCATTTTTATTTTTCATATATTAAAAGAAAATTGACAACAAAAACCCTGATTGATTATGCACATCGTTATACTAACATTAAAAGATACAGAGTTCTTGCTCGTTCTGAACTATATATTTTTCTTATGGGGTAAAGAGAAAATGATGTCTTTGCAACTCATTTAGGAGTCTTCAGTGAAATCAGAGATAAATAACTACTTTAACAATAAGCGATCAATTTAATGTAGATATTAGTAGATTTAAAGTCGTAGGGAAATCATATTTAAATATGAAATCATTGTGGCTTAAACATGTATATAAATGTTCTCTTTATCAGACCATATTGTATGTGTTTTTTTTGTTATCTTCTGCAGGCCAGTTAGTTCTACGTCAGCCTGAACACCTAAATTCAGCCAATCATATATCAACGGTCATCTGTCAATCAAATTTTTTCGGTCATAGCATCTTGATTCATGTGTCGCAGCTAATATACGCAACGGTTGAAATCAGAATCCTTTCCTTTCCCATTGAGTTGCGTCCCAGTGTTCACGGGGATGGACGTCTGTGTCTTCGGCAGGCGTAGAGCTAACAGAACTGGCAGCGTTGCGAGGCAAGGGTTCAAACACCAAACCAAGCTTCTGCCGCCCTGGCGTCCTCTTCCACAACATCTTCGTCCCCGCTTTCCTCCTCTAAATAAAAAATGGATGACGGACGGAGGAGACTCATCCACGACCTCCGACACTAAACTCTCCTCCTCTTGCATGTTTCCGCTGTCCATAGCGTTCCTTGACAGCGTCGTTTCTAAGTCACCAATTTAGTGCTACTTGGTCCCAATGGAATTTCCCATTGGGAACCTGCGAGCACTAAAATGTTAACTGGTTAGCAAGATGCTTCCCACAAACCGGCCACAACCAAACTTGCTTGTGAACTTTCCGCCACAATAATCCCGCCCCCTTGATAATCGACCAATCACATTCACTTTATTCACTTGTGTAAAGTCGGGCACCACTTGGGAGAATTCGGAAATGCAACGGTTGGAAAAGCTGCTTCCCTACGACTTTAAATATTGATTTTATGCAGAACAATTTTTGATAGAAGTAGGTAAGTAATGACAATGAATAAGATTTTCGCCCCAGAAGTCAAACTTTTAAATTTTATCAACTACACCTTTAATTCAGACAGCATGGATGTTTAAAAATATGGGTCTTTTTGTTAGCAAAGGCTGCAGGAAAGTACAGTCAGTCTTTGTTTAGAAAATATGTGGTCGTTCCTGTTGGAACCGTGTAGATTAATCCTGAGGTTCTGACACCTATCTGCTTTCGGCCAGCACTCAGTCTGCATTGGTTATTCCCTGGGCACCCTTACTAACATTTTCTGGCTACAGCTCTGGATTAAGGTATCAGAATCAGAAATACTTTAATAATCCCAGAGGGAAATTACTTTTGTTACATGCTCCAGTTACAGTTTTATACAATATATACACACATCCAACTATAAAATATAATAAAGATAAAGAAATAAGAATAAAAAGAGATAAAATATATACACATATAGCTCTTCTGTATATATATCTGTAGGTATATCTACAGTATGCATATGTAAAAACTAAATCCAAATAAAGTGAAAATCCAAGTAAAGTGATAAATCCAAGTAAAGTGATAAATCCAAGTAAAGTGATAATCCAAGTAAAGTGAAAATCCAAGTAAAGCGATAAATCCAAGTAAAGTGATAAATCCAAGTTAAGTGAAAATCCAAGTAAAGTGATAAATCCAAGTAAAGTGATAAATCCAAGTAAAGTGATAATCGAAGTAAAGTGAAAATCCAAGTAAAGCGATAAATCCAAGTAAAGTGATAAATCCAAGTTAAGTGAAAATCCAAGTAAAGTGATAAATCCAAGTAAAGTGATAAATCCAAGTAAAGTGATAAATCCAAGTAAAGTGATAACCAAATAAAGTTAAAGGTAACCAAATATGTAACTTTGTATCAATTTGACTGTATGATCTGGTTGAACTGTAAAGTGCCTTGAGATGACATGTGTTGTGAATTTGGCGCTATATAAATAAACTGAATTGAATTGAATTAATCATAGCAAACATAGCGAGTTTTGTTTTGACCCACCATTTAGATTTTAAAGGCTCAAATATTACTTCAACTTAAGAGGTGATACCTGCAGCAATCTACATTATATTTTCAGAAAGGCTTTATAAACTCATCAATATTATTGGAATCAGGCCTTCCAATCACTTCCATGTAAACGCATGTATAAAATGAAGCACTGAGGCGTGCAAACTGTTTTTAATAACCTTTCTGAATGAATGGGAGGCTCTCAGGAATCAGCAGATGCTGAAACTTCATGCTGCCTTCAGATCGGCTCCAGAACAGAGAGCTTCATGGAACGGATTTCTGCTTTTAATCTCTAATCAGATCTTTGCAGACATTTCTAAAACACGCTGAAGTTTCTGCCTCTGAACTTTTCTGGATTTCCTTTACAGGGCGCACCTGGTGAGAAGGGTCACCCCGGATATCCTGGAGAGGAAGGGTCCCCTGTAAGTTGTCTCCCAGGGCTACAGGGTGGAGGATGGGGGTGGGGGGATGGGAAGTAGGGGAATTTACCTACAACCTAACATACAGTAGCAGCCATTCAAAATGGCCCTTTAAAGTCAAACACCAGCTGGATGGCAGCTCGCTTCCCTTCAGCTCCCAGCAGAATCCCCTTCAACTCCCAGCCACTGCAGTGACCCCCCCTTTGCAAATTTTTTCCTCTGACTCCATCCTTTCACTGAATTACAAGGTCTGACCAGGAGATGGCGCTTCTATTTAGATCTTAATGTCCACAAATCATGAAAGAAGGAATATTTTAGTACAAAGATTTATGTTTAAAAAGGATTTGTTGGGAATCAGACAAGAAAAGTGGGGAAATTTTGAATAGCTGCTACTGTGTAAGTAAAACGTGGCTTTTTTAAGGGTCATTTTGTTCAACTCTAAAATATGTAGTACAGAAAAAAACACAGCATGATTATTGGAAGTAATTCAGTCTACAGTTGGTTTTACTGAATTAGTCTTAGTTTGCTGTTAATTCCACATGTTTGACTGTTGCAGGGCAGACGAGGACCTCCTGGACTACCTGGACCCCAGGGGATCCAGGGATGTCCTGGACACAGAGGACAGAAGGTAAGGCTACGTCTCCTGGTGGATGGAGAGAGAAAAGCTGCAACAATCCTGACCTGAAACCTGGAAAAAAAAAACCTGTTGGTGTTTAAATACTCCAGCGTACATATTCACACACTTTGTTATTTTACACGATGTACTTTGACTCTATGCGATGGACTAAATCTAAGTGGTCCACACTGGTATCCTAAGCTCCCAGATTGGGAAACATCCAAACCGGGCAACAATGAACGTAAGACGGGAAACGTTAGCCTTTAGATGCAAAACCCCATCATGCACTGCAAAATTTTTGTGTGTGCAAATATTCAAACATAAATTTGCCAAAGATAAGAGGAACATCGTAGTTTGGTTTAAAGAAAGCATTTTTGTTTTATTATAATTTAGTTTGTGGGAAGGATTTTACAGTTTGAAGAAATAGAAAATGACGCCATATGCCATCTTTCACAAGGAAGGGTCTATATATACTGCACGCATCATTTAGGTAGTTAACATTGGATTACTGCTTCAGCTCCTTCAGTTATTTACTGTCACAGGTAGGAGCTTCCTAACCTGACTCCGCCAGATGGATTTGCTCCGCATATCCATCTGGAAACCTTCGGTTGAAGTAATTTTGGGAAGGGGCGAAAATACTGGTTAGCTGATTGGCCTATGTTGGTGATAGACGGGCCAAATAAACCAATCAGATCAACGAAGCATATGACGTACTAACAGAGCGACGACGAAGAGGAGCCAATTGATAGATCAAACTCTTGCCGAAACCAGTCGGGAGAAGAGCAAAAACATCTTTTCCTCTGAGAAAAGCCTCCAGAGCAGTGTTTTGCTCTTCTTTCAGTGAAGAAATACTCTGTAATTCCCATAAAACTTGCTCGATAGCCACGCTAACGCTAGTTTCATGGGCTGAAGCCGCCATGTTCTTTAGACTGAACTGTCGCGCTTCTCGTTGCGTCACACCTCAACCCGCCTCAAAGCCAACGCTGATTGGACGTTCGTTTGGTGAACGGCTCCAAATTTTCTTTAACGGAGAGTCTCCAGACTGATTAGCGAGTGAAACCTTGAAAGCTCGCGAGATCAGGATGGTCTCACCAGGCTAGGAGCTTTGGCGGGAGAGGAAGTGTCTGATTTAAGGAGGGCCGGCCCTCGCACACTGACATTAGGCCCCGCCCACCGGGTAGATGTTGGAATCACAGATTACCAGTCAGGGCCTGGGTCATACCATAAAAAAATCCATCACAGAACCTGCCGACGCTGTGGGAGAAATTGCTTAAAATAAAGGCTATAAGGCAATAAAGTTTTGGAAAATAAATCAGCTTGTTAAGGTTGTGCAGCTCCTCCCAGGACTTCTCTGCTTCTTCCTTTCTAAGCTGAGCGAGACGCCTTCTAACAGATGTGTTGCTTCCATTGGCAGGGATCTCACAGCTTCTCTGGCAGCAAGGTGAGTCACTGAAGCAATTTATATAAACCGAGATGTAGAGCTTTGGAGAGAAGTGCTGAATTGGAGACTCTTTTTGCCGTTTCAGGGTGAAGATGGAGAAAACGGACTGGATGGAATAAATGGAGAGCAGGTGGGCAGAACTAATTAATTAACGTCTTTGATTTTAGGAACTAAATTCAATAAAAGGGATGCAGGATATAATGGGCCCCCTATCGGTATCGGTCTTAAAACTGAATATCGGACATCGGCCACCCCACCGATATTTAACCCGATATTTGATCAGCTTCTGAGTTTCTAAAGTCTAAAAAAATATATATATATATACTACTTCTTCTTCTTCAAAAACTTCTTTTTTACAGACTTGAAAACTTCTAAAGACGAGAGAAAAAATATTGATCCATTAAAATATCTCAATATCTTCATATGCTGATATATTGCCATTTAAAAACACCATATCAATCTCTTTTACTAATGAAATATTGCTATATGTCATCGTTATGCTACGAAATCCCCCGAAAATTCACGAAATTTTGACATATTTTTATATGTTGATATATTGACGCGGTATCGATCTATTTTAGTGCATCCCTAAAAGTGATCCCTTGTAGTGCCGTAACTGCCACCTTTATCAAAGTAGTTAAACCTTAAACGTTTAAAGAGGGTTGCTGTTCATAGACGGCTGTATCCCTGCAGCTTAATGGAAAGTTTAGCGGAAGGAAAACATTTTTTTTAAAAGGCATTGGCCCCAGATTTCCAAAACCCGCCCCTGATCAGAGCCAGCAGATTTTTTCCTACTTTCTATTATTTCCACTCCGTACTAACCTCACTGACTGGTTAGAAAAGCATCAGTTTGACCTGAAAATGCATTTCTAAAGGTTCTGCTGTGAATCACTGGAGTTTAGCACCATGTTAGAGTTAACACAACCCGATTCAAACATGCTGCATCAACGGAGGGAAGATCTGAGAAGGAGCTGCCAGATATTGATCTTTATAATTTTCCAAAAGCTGCACCAATCATTTATTCACATTCAAGCATATGAACTATTCACCTTTTCAATCAATGCAGTTTATTGTTGAAATTGAAGAAAGTCCGAACGAGGCGTAGACCTTTTTGCTCTCGTCCAAAGCTGGCTGAATTACTTGAAAATGCATATTTTTTTCTTTAAATCTCTAAAACTATCATAAAAACAAAGCCTTGCATAGTTACCACTATAATTAAAAAGATGTGTTCCCAATTAAAAAGGAAGACATCCCAACGAAATTCTGTTCAGTAAAATTTCAGAGGTTTTTTCTTTCATGATGACATCGGTCTGATTTGTTGATGTTTGCTCCTTATTGCATCCTGATCATTTAGGTTATTAGCAAAGATCGCTGTGGTTTATAGTCATCGGTGTTTCTCTTCTGTCTCCAGGGGGAAACGGGCGAAGACGGCATGAAAGGAGAAAAAGGAGACACTGGAGGCGCGGTAAAAAAAACCTTCAAAACGTTTTGTTCTGCTAACAGAACCTTTTCTCTCTGCAGCAAAACCTGAAGCATTTCAGCGTCTGAAGATCTGGATCTTCTGATCCGGAAAAACAGAACAGATCTGCAGAAAGCGACTGATCTAACAGAGGAACCTCTCATCCGCAGGGCATCCCAGGAACCAGAGGGGAGAAAGGGCTGAAAGGACAACGAGGCCTGAGAGGAGATCCGGTATGTTCTCCATCTCTCTCTTGTCTCTATGGTTGTAGAAATGAACGTTCAGATCTCATCATCCTCCATCTCTGTTTCCTGGAACTCATTCGTTTTATAGACCAGCAGACCGGATCCTGAAAAATGCAATAAGATAAATAGAGAGAGAGAAATTCATTCATTTATTATTGGAAGCAAAGAGCTTCAGTTTCATTAAATTGAATTAGAAGAAAATGACAATTTGAAAAACTTTTAAAACAAAAAAGGAGCTTTATGATCTAAATAAACAAATTATTTTTTGCATAATTAATTTTTTACATTTTATCAGAATTTAAAAAACTTAAAAAAAGAGAGCTTTTAGGGAGACCAAGTTTTACAGAAGTGGAAAGTGGGACTTTTGTGAAACATTTTTTAAAACCAAGTTTCAGATTTAGTGTTATATTTGCTGACTGTAGCTGAAATCAGCTTCACTAAAGGAGTCACCTCCGCCCAGCTAACAGGGGGGGTTTACCATTAGGCAATACTAGGCAGTTACCTAGGTAACTGTTACCTAGGTAATGATGACCATAAAACTCTGTTTCCATGTATGGAGAATACAACCATTCCTTATTTCTGCACATTAATTATGTTTTTGATAAAAACCCTTTTGCTAAAATGCCATCAGAACGCTGATAATATTAAGTGTGTCTCAGCCCCCCCCTTCAGCGTCCACCATATTGGATCAGTCCATTTGCTGCACATGTTCAGAAAGGTCCAAACAGACAGCAGCAAACCATTTGAAAACAAACCATGCAAAGAGCAGTGTTGCCAACTTAGCGCTTTAGTCGCTATATTTAGCCACTTTTCAGACCCCTCTAGCACTTTGATTTCTAAAAAGCTCCTAGCGCCAAATCTAGAGACTTTTTTTCTGCTACTGGAGACTTTGGAGACAACATCTAAAAGCAGCGAACTCTGCTCTCCAGAGCCAGTAGATTGGTAACCCCGCCTCCTGCTCTCCTCTATCTTGTCTGCTGTCATGATTCATGCAGCTATTATTTCATCCAAATGAAAAATGGAGAACAGATAAGCAGATCATGGCTTGTCTACAGTGAAAAGAAGGACTGGGTTATTTACTTTGGCCTTTTTGGAAACACAGGAAGGAGCAATCAGCTAAGTGAGCTTAGTGCTTGGAAAAAATCTTTCATTCCTTTAGAGACAGCATGAAAAGTCAGCTGAGTACAAAACATAGAGAGGAAAACAAGAAGAAAAGGGACAAGAAGAGAGGGACACAACCTAGAACAGATAATGGATGTCTATTCTATTAACATTTCTCTATCTGGAGAATGGGGCTGTTTTATATGTTGAGCTCTCAATTCAGAAGGCCCCCTGCCTGTCTTTGCCCAGGGCCCCAAATTTCCTAAATCCGGCCCTGGCAGCAAATATGCAACCATTATAATGATCATTAAGAGGATTTACCATTTCTGCTGCCAGTGGTGCAGAGCGGCAGCCGGCAAAACTGGATCTGATTCATTTAATTCACGCTGCAGCAAAACCGCAGTTAATATTTAAATATCACATGAAATGAGCAGGAAACTGATGTTTCAGAATACTTCCCTCAAAACGTTTAAATGTATTTATTTCTATATATTATCTACGGCACACATTAGATTAATTACTGGGCTCTATATTTTAACCTGGGTAATCATCATATTAAATACACAAGTAAAAGGAACAAATATAGTTTCTCTGCAGCTGGTTTATCCACCTGTTGAAGGATATAACTCCTGAAAATATATCTACATGCAAAAATAAAAAGTGACATTTTAGCCGTTTTAAATCAGTGGTAGGAGTTATTGTGCTCTGACTTCGGCATGCTTGCAGGTTTTTAATGCATGATCTATGCATGCTCCTTGGAGCCCAGGGGGGCTTCAAGGAGCATGCATAGCATGTAAATAAGGAGGATGGAGAAGATGGCAGGACTGAGTGTTAACTGGAGGTCAGATGCAGCGTCAGGTCTCCGTCTCACGCTGACGAAGCTCTGGGTTTGTTTCACAGGGGGAACCGGGACGTAACAACAATCGTCCAGGAACCAAAGGAGAACCAGGAAACCAGGGTGAACCGGTAAGAAATTTCTCCTTCGCAGCATAAATCCTAAAGTCAGAACAAATCAAAGGCTTATTGAGAACTTCATCATAAAAATAACTTTTCTGAAAGAAGTTTCCAAAAGTTGGAGAACTTGGATGTGAAAAAAAAACTTAGATTTGGATGGATGGATGGATGGATGGATGGATGGA